TTCCAGGGGCTGAGGCAGGCTGCAGGATCCAGGAGCAGCAGCCTCTGTGCCAATGAGGATATGGGGACTTGTTCTTACTGGGAACCAACCATTGTAGCTGTGAATTCAAAGCAAAGTTCTCTGGGTCTCTTCATTTCTAGATACAAGCTATGCTGGAAAAGAAATTCATGAAGGTAGCAGGAGGAACAGGGTGCTTGTCCAGCACATAAATCACTGGGTTGTTGCCATGAAAGCACATGTCTAGACCGAGCACAGCCTGCGACTTTTCATGTACACTGAAATTTAAAATGCTTAGATCTAGTCAGAAAAATAGGCGCCTCAGGACTACATGGTCTGAGTACAGCTTGCTTGGTGCCCAACAGGGCCTAAGATCAAAATTTTGAGCCCCTCTGTCTGAGAACAAGTTCAGGGGGAAAAAATGGCTTTTGAAATCTCTTTTCCATTTGTACATGGGGCAAACCGCCTTAAATTCTTTAAATGCTCCAGTGAAGCCGCCCAGCAGCTTCAGCCTAAGCCTGAATGCTCCAAGGCCGCTTGCTTAAGATCCAAATTCAGCGTGCGCTTGAAAATCTCTGCATGACCACCAAATAAGTAAGCTATTAGAATTTTGGGGGTCCCATTTGTGTTGACAATATGAAATGGGGAGAAAGAGGGTCCTCTAGGATTCTTAGTCTCATTCATAAAATAATTTAAAAATGGGCCCAACTGGAAACTTTTACAATTTTATTAGAATCTTAAAAATCCTCAGGGCAGGCAAGTTGGTAATCTTGGCAGGTGCCTTGAGGAAGGAAAGAAAGCCATGGAGCCACGCAGGTTTAGAGCCTGCCTGGGAGGTCAGACACGTGGCCGACTCCCAGCCACATGGCTGGGAGAAGGAAGCTTTAGACAAAAAGTGAAAAAAAATACAAGATGCTAGGGGCAGGGAGGCATTGAGGTTATTGAGGTTGATCAAAGGCCGAGGTAGAGGAGTAGGGAGGGGGATCAGAGGCCCCCGAGGTGGTAGGAACCAGCAGGTTGGGGGGTCTTTGCTATGAAAACTTGAGAGGAACATGAGACACAGAGGGAGGGATTAGCATGGAGATCAAAGGCTTGGACATAAGGGAGCTTGGACCTTTTGCCGCTATGTTGGCAGAAATTATCTAAATCTCTCAAAATATTGAAGTCTAAGGTTCCGGTGTCTGGCCAAAGATAGTCATTATCTAACTTGTACTGGGGTCAGGCAGTGGTGCATAGGAACTTTAAGTGCTTTGGCCCAATTGTATCTGAAAGTCTTGGTTGTTTTAAGGATTTAAGAAGATAAGCAAGAGGGGTGAGGCTCTCAGACTTGGACTGGGTGGTTCCCATAACAACAGATTATGTACAGCACGCAGAATAGATAGAGAAGGAGCAAACAAATAGGAGGAGACAATGAGGACAGGAACTGAACAAGCAAGTTGGAACAAGAGTCCAGGCAGGAAAGCATGGGGTATGAGGAAGGAGGGGGAGGTATAGGTCCTTTCCCGGGACAGGCCTGAGAACGACTTTTTCCAGTCCCTGGAGGCAGTGTCCTGCAATCAGATCATCAGGGGGGGGAAAGGCAAGTTCCTGTCCTGGATAGGAAGGGGTGCGTGTTCCTACCCCTGGGAACAGTGTCTGTACCCAGAGGAAGGAAAGGACTTTCTGACATGCTAGGGTGATTTTCAAGTGGAAAGCCCTGCAAAGAGAGCATGGCATGACCAGCCAGACAAAGTACAAGGAAAGGAATGGGAGAAGAGCCATGGAGTCAGAAAGAAGGGGGATGGGAGAGACAAGAGAAAAGAGAAAAAGGGGGGGGGAGAGAGAGAGAGAGAGAGAGAGAGAGAAAGAAAGAGTTGGAGTGTACCTCAAAGCCAAATTGGTGATGTTCGAAGAGGCTGGTAAGGGCTGTTGGAGTTCTTTACACATGATCCCAAAAGATAGTGGGTCCCAGGGCTCAGCTGAGTTTGGCACCATATGATAGGTAAATGGAGGCAAAACAGGAGAAAGCACCAAGACACAGACAAGATAGAGTTTATCAGTAGGGAAAACACATGGGACAGTCCTCAGTTCGGGAAAGAGGAGCTGTCGGCTTACAGGCTGTTGGCTGGGGGATATATATATACATGTATATATATATGTCTTTTTTGAGACAGGGTCTCCCTGTAACCCCAGCTGTCCTGGAACTCACTATGTAGATCAGGGTGGCCTTGAACTCACAGAGATCCGCCTGCCTCTGCTTCCCAGAGTCCTGGGATTAAAGGTGTGCACCACCACGCCCAGTTAAGGGAAGATTTTTTTTTTTTTTTAGGAAAGATATTTTTTAAAAGTTAGGTGGGAGGGAGAGAACCCAGGGCTTATCAGGAGAGAATAGCCTCTGTCAAATGGGCCCCTTCTGTTGGCCAGGATCTGGTCATGCAATAAGGGGTCTGTTTATCTTCTAAGATTATCAAAGGGGAAGCAGGCTGTGCCAAAACAGCTTTTGTAGCAATCGGGTCTCGGGTCAAAGGTGTAGAGAGTGTTTACTTTGCAGATGGTCAGGGTGTTCATTAACTTAGTTCCTGTATTTTTTCAGAGGGCTTGTAAAACTATGAGGTCCTGTTGCACTGGGGAGGGGGTTGCTGCAGATCCGAACCCTAACAATTATTTTTCGGGTTCTGCTGCCAATTGATGTGCAGCCTTGGCCTCTTACTGGACCACAGCTACCATGTGCTGACCCTGAGGAAATACTTCCCAGAAGATTTTGCCTCAGTGATGCTGGCCTCTTAATAATCACAGCTGTGGGCTGGAGAGATGGCTCAGCGGTTAAGAACTCTGGTTGTAGCCGGGAATGGTGGGGTACACCTTTGATCCCAGCACTTGGGAGAACCCAGGTCAGGTCTTCTGCAAGAACAGCCAGTGTTCTTTTTTTTTTTTTCTGTCTTTTTTTGAGACAGGGTCTCCCTGTAGCACCAGCTGTCCTGGAACTCACTATGTAGACCAGGCTGGCCTCAAACTCACAAAGATCCACCTGCCTCTGCCTCCCAAGTGCTGAGATTAAGCATGTGCCAGGATGCCTATTTTATTGTTTTGTTTTGTTTTTTTGAGACAGGGTCTTCCTGTAGCCCCAGCTGGCCTGGAACTCACTAGTACGCCAGGTTGGCCTGGACTCACAGAGATCCACCAGCCTCCTCCTCCCAAGTGCTGGGATTAAAGTCGCGGACCACACCAGGTGAAATCCCCATTCATAATACATATTCTATTAATTCTGCCCCACTAGAGAACCCTAATCTGTGCAAGCAGATGGCAGTCACAGTGTCTGGGGCTACAAAGCCTCACCAAGAGGCTCAGGAAGGCTTCTAGAGGCTGTGTCTCTGGTGCCAATTTACAGAGAAGCTCCTGGACAGGAAGGCAGGCTACACAGCCTTGACAATTTCCTTTCTGCTAGACATGGTAGCTCACACCTGTAATCCCAGCACTTGGAAGACAGGGGGCAGAATTGGCATGAATTTGAGGTTAGTCTGAGCTACCTCACCTACACAGCCTCACCTGGGCTACACAGTGAAACCCAGTAACAGGCAAAACAAAACAGAGAGATGGAGAGATGGGGGTGTGTGCATTTCCTTTCCCAGAACGGACCCCTGTGCAGAACATACTAGACAGTCTTCAGAGAAGGTGCCCTGCAACGCAGCAAATGGGGAACCCAGGATTTCTCTAGTGCTAACCTTGGGGCTCCCAAGATGAATACCAAAGGGGCAGATAGTTACAGGCATAACACGTGTGACAAAAGCTTCCCTTACCCGTCATGCCTGCTCAGACACCTTCCTTATCCACGGCAGTGAGAAGCTGACACCTGAAGGGGCAGAGGGCATGTGCGCCCCTGGCCAGCCCAGCATTTGCACAGCACCATTGCAATCTGGCACTACGAGCTGCGCCTTGCGGCAGATGGGATGAGGTCTTCCCAGCTGCCCAGGCATGTCCACTCCCAGAGGAGGGCTTTGCATGCTGGCAGTGTGTGAAGGGCTATGTCTGGAAGTCAGTTTCAAAACCCATCAGGAAGGACTGGAGAGTTGGCTCAGCGGACCTGGGTTCAAGTCCCAGCATCTACATGGCGACTGTGCTGGATAGCTTTAGTGTCAACTTGACACACCTGGGTTGAGGGAGCCTCAATCGGGAAATTGCCTCTATTGGACTGGCCTGTGGCCATGTCTGAAGGGCATCTTCTTGATGAGTGATGTGGGAGGGCCCAGCCCACTGTGGGTGGTGCCACCCCTGGGCAGGTGGGCCTGTGTTGCATAAGAAAGCAGGCTGAGCAGGGGCCAGGGGAGCAAGTCAGTAAGCAGTGTTCCTCCATGGCCTGTGCTCCAGATCCTACCTCCAGATTCCTGCCCTGAGTTCCCACCTTGGGCTCCCTGATGAACTGCGTTTGACCTGGGAGATGTAAGACAAATAAACCCTTTCCTCCCCAAGTTGGTACTGGTCAGAGTGTTTTGTCACAGCAATAAAGAATAGACTAAGACAGCGACTAACGACCTTTTGTAACTCCAGTTCCAGGGGATCCGACGCCCTCTTCTGACCACCGCGGGCACTGCACGGCACCGGCGCACTTTACATGCAGGCAGAACACTCATACATAAACATTAAAAGCAAAAAAACAAAACACCAGGAATCGCACCTGGGGAGTGGCGTAGTTTTGAGCTCGGGGGTTAGGTTTTGGAAGTGCCTTTCAGAGCGAAGACTGGTGACTTAATCCCAAGCACTACAGTTCTGGGATGTCCTCATCCACTGCCTCACCCGTGTGCCCGCAGCGCTGACAGCAGTGTCCATACTACCGCCCAGGGACAGGGGTCGCAGGGGCAGAGGGTGCCCGGGGCGGGATCTGGTGAGCCGAGGGGCATCCTCCTCGACCCGCTCCCTCTGCGCTCCTAGCCCCCAGCACCCGTGCAAGGGGACGAAGCCTCCGGACCCGACTGCGCGCGGACCGGACTCGGTTTCCCAAAAGGCTGTGCGGCCCTGATGACGTTTCCCAGCAGCGGCTGTGCAAGCGGGAGCAGGCCGAAGACTCTATTTCCCAGAGTGCCCCAGGAGGGCCTCGCCCCCTCCACCTGGGCAGCGTGGCTAGCAGCTGCTTCGCCGGAAGCCCCTTCCGGGACAGGTGGAGCCTGGCGCAGGTGAGAGCGCAGGGCCACCCTAGAGCCCCCGTGGGCGTGGCGTGTGGTCGGGGGCCCCAGCGGGGTGGGCTGGGAGGTCGGGAACCCCCAGGGATCCGGGCCAGGCTCCCTCTCCTTGGGGTGGCAGTGGGGCCGTGCGGCTGGGCCAGAACCATCCTACAGAGACCCCAGCAGATTCCCGGCCCCGGAGATGGGCTCTCGATGGGGGCGGTGGCCCGAGGTAGTCCAGCGGCGCCACCCACCCGAGAACTAGGTTTTCCCAAGTTCTTTGGAGATTAGCCCTGTACGAGTGAGCTGGGGGCTCCAAACAGGGTAGCGCGTGAGCTTTGGCGAGAAGCAGAGCCGGTGATCTGTGCCCTGAGCTCCCAGCCCTGATGCATGCCTACTTTCTGGTCAGCCCTAGGGAATACTATGTATCTTTCCTCTGCCTAGTAGGGTCCGTGGGTTGGGATCAAGCTGCTGTGGCTTGATCAAACTCCCCAGGTTTGGATAGCAGCCAGTAGGCGTCTGTGGAGCCTTGGACACAGGCCTTCCCGGGGAAAAGGGTAGTCTGTCTGGAGCCCTGTGACTCCTCCCTGGGTCCTGATTCAGTGCCTGTTGCTCATTGGCTCAGGGGAATGTGGTGGGGAGGAAGGCACACCTTATGCCATCCTTGACTTCGCACCATTTGTTCCTCTAGGTGCAGTCAATATGGGTGAGCCCCAGGGGTCCATGAGGATCCTAGTGACTGGGGGCTCCGGACTGGTGGGCAGAGCCATCCAGAAGGTGGTTGCAGATGGGGCCGGCCTGCCTGGAGAAGAATGGGTGTTTGTCTCTTCCAAAGATGCAGATCTGACGTGAGTTGAGGCCATCCCCAGGGCATGTTCCCTCTCCAGGGAGAAGAGATTTCCTGCTGGGTCTTTTCCTGAACCAGGCTGGATGCACCCTGCCAGGTGACTGGTCTGGCTCTGGGTGCTGGCTGTGCTCTAAGTAAACATCCTCCGATTGGTTCCGGGAGCCCACACCCTGACACCTGCTAAGCCCTGAACTTGGCCACTTATACCCTTGGCTGCCTTTCCAGCTGTGGACCCACCCAGTTCCTGCACCCACCACTCTAACCCCCAAATTCCCTCTGCCTCCATGGGATCCCTGACATCCTGGCTTCCCCCAGGGATGTGGCGCAAACCCAAGCCCTGTTCCAGAAGGTGCAGCCCACCCATGTCATCCATCTTGCTGCAATGGTAGGCGGCCTGTTCCGGAATATCAAATACAATTTGGATTTCTGGGTAAGTTGGAGGGTTGGGGGGGCAATAAGCATTGGGAGCCAGGAGCTTATGTTCTTGGAGCTTACAGTTGGGCTTCCCACTCTCACAGGTTCACCTCAGGAAGTCCCTGAGGACTCTGACTTGGTACAGCCCTGGGAGGGGGAAGCTCCCAGTGACCCACACTTAGTACTGTGGGCAGAGGGGAATGCAGGTGCACCTGGAGGCATTTGGCCAAATGCTGACCTGCAGGATTGGGAAGCTGAAGAAACCAGATGTCCTGCTCTAGCTGGGGGCTGGCTCTTGCCTACTAAGACTGCTGGACTTCCGAATTCTTGGGCTCCCAGACTGGGCTCGCTGGCTCTGCCAATCACTCTGTGATGTACGCCTGTCTGTGGCATGTCCCTGGGAAGAAGGGCATAACAGAAGGACTCTGCTTCTGCTGGTTGTGCTCCTCTGAGCAGTGGCTTCGGTCTGATTGGCCTGTACCAGGCACTGCTGTCAGCAGAGGCTCCCAACAGATTCTACCCAGGGTCTCTCATCCAGAGCTCTCCTCGTCTGTCCCTGCATTCAGCAAACCGCCTGGTCCACTACTTTTTCCTTATCCTTAGACGAGTAAAAATGCCTCATGTCAATTTAGAGAAGGGAACTGGAGATTGAGAAGGGGCAGGGCAAGCCACTGGGAAGTAGAGTTCAGTGTGCTTTCTCTGGGGTTGGATAGTGGGGGACCCTTCTCTCATGTAGCAGGAGTTCCACCAAAGTCTTCCCCAGCCCTATACTTGGCTTGCGCTTAGCAGCCCTGGGGATGCAGCTGTGGCCCTAGTGGGCAGCAGTTTCTGTAAGGCGAGTGCTGGGAGGCTTGGCCTTGCCCAGGAGCACTTGGGATGAACAGGTACAAATCCTGGCCCATATCTGGGTATATCCCCACCTCTGTCCCTGAAGGAGCAGGAAAGAGCTTGGGTCTTTCATGAGTAGCCTGACCTGCCTCTACTGTGTCCTGCAGAGGAAGAATGTGCACATCAATGACAATGTCCTGCAGTCAGCCTTTGAGGTGGGTGCTCGCAAGGTGGTCTCCTGCCTGTCCACCTGTATTTTCCCTGACAAGACCACCTATCCTATTGATGAGACCATGGTAAGGGGCAGGGCCACCTGGGGTAGGGCCTGATGGTGTGGGTGGAGCCAGGAAATGAGGGTTCTCAGTGCATCTCCTCCTGCTCCCCCAGATCCACAACGGGCCGCCCCACAGCAGCAATTTTGGGTACTCATATGCCAAGAGGATGATTGACATACAGAACAGGTGCTCCTTCTCAGTACCCTTCCCCGCCAGGTCTCTCCGGAGAGGGGAGGATGGAACCCCTGGGTTGGTGGGACCTTCTTGCTACCCCATTTTTGCATCTGGAGGCCAGCTTCGGAAGGAATGGGGACACTAGGGGCGTGTTCTAGGATGAGGTCAGAAGACACTGTGCCTCCACAGGGCCTATTTCCAGCAGCATGGCTGTACTTTCACGGCTGTCATCCCCACCAATGTCTTTGGGCCTCATGACAACTTCAACATAGAGGATGGCCATGTGCTGCCTGGCCTCATCCATAAGGTGCACCTGGCCAAGAGTGAGTGCAGCTTCCCAGCCCATACCTGGCCCGGGTTACCTGCCTGATGGGCCCTGGGCCCAGCTGGGGGGAGCTGGCCCTGGCTGCAGTGCTCTGACACCTACCCCATCTGTAGGCAGCGGTTCAGCCCTGACTGTGTGGGGTACAGGGAAACCACGGAGGCAGTTCATCTACTCACTGGTATGTTTAGGGGAAGCAGTGGTGTGGCATGGGGAACAGCTCTGGTCCCTGCTAAATCACTGGGGGTGCAGCTCTGGCTCAGCAAGAGAAAGGGTGACCTAAAGGCGAGACCCCAAAGGTGGTGATCCCTGGCTGTGCCCCCAGGGAGCCGAAACAGCAGTGTGACCTCCCCCACTAGGCGTACTTAGCTCTTACTTATGGATCTGACCTTCCCTTCTGACCTCCAGGACCTGGCCCGGCTATTCATCTGGGTCCTTCGGGAGTACAATGAGGTGGAGCCCATCATCCTCTCAGGTGGGCACCCCGAAGCTCCTGTTCCCTGCAGCATGGCAGGACCTCAAGGGGTGGGAGCAGAAATACCCTCAGGGTTCTGAACAGGGAGGCCTGACTAGCTGCTGGCCCATGGCTCTCCACAGTGGGTGAGGAGGATGAGGTGTCTATCCAGGAGGCAGCTGAGGCTATAGTGGAGGCCATGGGCTTCTGTGGGGAAGTCACTGTATCCTTTGGCTCCTGTGATGGGCAGATGGTGAGGCATTGTGGAGGGGCACTGGTGCTTGCCTTGGTAGCAGGAAGGGATCTGCTGTGCCCCAAGCTTGCTCAGGGAAAAACAGATGTTGGGGTAAAGCAAGTGGGGGTGCTTCTACTGTGTGGCCTTGACCAAGCTGCCCAGTTTGATACCACCAAGTCAGATGGGCAGTTTAAGAAGACAGCCAGCAATAGCAAGCTTCGGACCTACCTGCCTGACTTCCGCTTTACACCCTTCAAGCAAGGTGAGCTCCTGTCTCTCTGTGCTCCCCAACTACCCCAACCTGTATCTGCAAGAGTCCTTGCCAGCCAGTCCTTCCTTGACTTTGGCCCCCATTGTTCCTCCCTGTCCCCTACTGTGGCCTCAGTGTCCCTAATGTGACATGGGGTGGGTGGGTCGGTTGTCCTGCAGGCTTGGTTACGAGAGCCTGTACCCCTGGGAGGCAGGACATTGCATGCTGCTCAGGGGGAATGTCCCTGGGGTCCCCACACTCTCCACCTCCTCCTGGGGGGTCAATGGCACTGGCTCTCACCTGTCTACCTCTGCAGCTGTGAAGGAGACCTGTACTTGGTTTGCAGAGAACTATGAACAGGCCCGGAAGTGAAGCATGTGACAAGCAGGCACAGTTGGCAGTGCCCAGTGGCCACCCTCAGACCTCGTGAACTAGGGTGGTGTCCAGTCTGGGCCAAATGCTGGCCCCTCTGCCAGGGGGCTTCATGCAGCTGTCTAGCAGAGCCCATGTCTGTCGGTCCTCATGGAAAGGCCGGTCCAATCTCAGTGCAACCACTCTTATCCTGCTGTCCCATCTCTAGAAACCAATAAAATTCATTTTCACAAACGTGTACTCAGTAGCTATGTCCAGCCATCCCTCACCCTGGCACCTAGCATTGTCTCCCTAGCCTGTCCAGTTCTGGGACTCACTGTCCTCTTGTGTGCTGCTCAGCCCCCTGAGAGTTGCTAGACTTGGGGCCAGTGTCCCTGTGTTAAGGCCCAGAGGGTGGAGATGTGGGTGGCAGGAGGCAGGCTGTGCAGGTCAGATGTGAACTCTCCCTTGGTTCAAGTATGCAGCAGGGTTACCTCCCCATAGCCTGCCCTGGACCCTGGCAATGCACAGCCCTCCACTTGTGGTCCCCTCACAGTCCAACTACAGCATCCCCCTTATAAATGCTGTGTGGTTGTAAGTGCTCCGTGCTGATGACCCTTGGGTTAGTGCTGCTTTTCAGGCAAAGAAGCAGTACAGGTGCGAGTGCACAACCCAAGGCACATATGTTAACAAGTGCCCCAACTAGGGCGACCAGCACTTCTCCAGCTGGTGCTTTAAAATGCCAGTCAAGCCGGTCATGGTGGTGCACGCCTTTAATCCCAGCACTCCGGAGGCAGAGGCAGGCGGATCTCAGTGAGTTCAAGGCCAGCCTGGTCTATATAGTTCCAGGATAGCTGGGGCTACAGGGAGACCCTGTCTCAAAAAGACCAAAAAAACAGGCTCCCTGAGATTCACCCTAAAATCTCACTAATCGAAAAGAGAACAAGGGCTAGAGAGATGGCTCAGCGTTAAGAGCACTGGCTGCTCTTGCAGCAGACCTAGGTTCCAATCCCAGCACCCACGTGGCGGCCAGCAACCTCTTTGTTAACTCAGGTTCTGACCTCTGCGGGGAGGGCACGGGTATGGGAGCACTTACACGCAGACAATACACTTATAAAATAAAAATAATAGAATATTTTTTAAAAATCCCTACCAGCCCCAGGGGCCCTTGGATGGTTGGAGCTCTTCCTCCAATTACCTCCGAGCGGCTTTGGGGGCGAGTCCAGCCTGCTAAGGACTAACTCCACCCTTCCGGACCCCCTGCGCTATGATTCCCGCAAGCATGTGAAAGGCCCGCCCAGTTCGGAATGGGCAGCAAAGCCTGGCCCCGCCCCGCCCCGCCCCCGGCTTCTCCACCAATGCGGCTCCGGGGGGCGGGGCTCACCGCCACCACGCCTGCAGGCCTGCGGGGAGATCGCGATGGAGGCCGCGGGTCTCGACCTGGGGCGCGTGGGCTTCGTGGGTGCAGGCCGCATGGCGGAGGCCATCGCTCAGGGCCTCATTCGAGCAGGTGGGGTAGCGGGGAGCCTGGCTGCGGGGTTCCCCGTGGGAGGAGCCATGGCCCGCCCCCGTGGTGTGAACCCCAGGGCTCCCGGGTGGGGACGCGTGTGACTGGGTTCCAGCAGGGCCCCCAGGTCTCCAGGGTCCCGGGATGAGACGGACAGCCCTTACCCCAGATGGGTAGGTGTGCCTGGCGCGGTGTGGAGAAAAGTATCGCAGGTTTTTCTTTAAAAGATTGATTGCATGTTAAATGATATTCCTTTAAATGTATTGAATTAAGGAAAATTACAGTTAACTTCACCCGCACCTTCTTAATGTGGCTGTTAGCTTATCATTACATATGCGGCTCAAAACAGCGTCCAACTTCCTGGTCTCCTGGCCTGGGTCTAGTTCAGCTGTGTGAACTGCTGATTCTGCATTCTATGCATGCACCAGGTCCACTTCCAGTGTGAACAGCTTTGTGGACATTCTTGGGTCCATCATCTCTAGATGCCAACAGCACCCTGAATGTGAAGCCCAGATTGTCTCCAACAGGGTAGAACTCTGCAAGGGGGCATGGGACTGGTAAGATCTTCCTGGATAAGGACTGCTGGTATGTAGCAGGGGCTGTTCATACTCCAAGAACACTATTGTGCAGTTCAGAAAGCCTTTGCCTATAGAGAGCAGAGAGAGAAGCTAGTGACCTTTGGCACCATATACTGCTTTCAGCCGCACTTCAAAGCCCAGAGGGTGATGATCATGAGAAGATGGCTTCCTACAGGTTTCAAGTGTAAAACCTGGCAGTTCACCTGCCTCCAGGTGCTGTGCAGACAGACTCAAGGAGTGTTCAGGACTAGAGGTGTGGCCATTACTGACAGGATTTGCTGATTCTGTGTTTAGGCTGTGTGGTGTGCATGTTTCTCTAACCCAATCTTCCTACCTCTATAACCCACAAAAACATGATTTCAACCAAACTGGCTTTTAGCCTCCTCTGGATCATCCCAGCACACTTGCCCTGGTACAAGGAAGCATGTCCCTTATCTTGTCTGTCTCAGCTATCTTTGTACCCACCGTGCCACTCCAGCCTGGTGCTCCCTGAGCGGTTGTGCCCTTTGGCCAGCAAGCCTAAGTGCTCTGTCCAGCTACCTCCTCCCTGAAGGCAGAGGCCTTTGGAATCTGTCCTCAGAGGATTAGGCAAGTGCCTGGCCCTAGTCTCCAACAGCAGGTAGATGTTGATGGCAGCTAAGTACCATTGAATTGACCCGATTGTTCAGCTCTGAGCATAAACATACCTAGTGTGGGTTCCTGCAGAGCTGTGGGCCAGGAGGGGACCAGGCAGGCTCTTTACTGTCCTCCCAGCCCTCACCAGCCTTTGCCTTTGCCTTTCTAACCAGGCAAAGTGGAGGCTAAGCAGGTGATGGCCAGTGCACCAACTGACAGGAACCTCTGCCACTTCAGGGTGAGTGGAGCCTAGGGTTGTCCCATCCTGAGGCATTTATCAAGGCCAGCGGTGTGTGGCTTATATGGCTGGAGGTTTGAGACTGTTTGGGCTAGCCTGGGGAAGGGGAGGTCAAAGACCAAGAAGAAAGTCCAGGTTGTGGAGGACTAGAGCTGATTCAGTAGGGTAGGCATGGATACTAATTAGGAGGGAAGGTTCAGGAAGATACAGTTTGGGGTCTGTGAGGAGCACAGCCTGCTGGGAAGTCTTAGGCACTGGAGAATGCTAGTGCAGAAATTTGAAACAACAGGCCTGAGGGAATCCATGGGATGTAAGGTGATCTGTGGCACAAAGGGCTGTGTGGTAGCATGTTCACTCACAGGGTCCTGTCTCTGGCCCTGGCATCCTGTGCAGGCTTTGGGTTGCCAGACTACCCACTCCAACAAGGAGGTGCTGCAAAACTGCTCGCTTGTCATCTTTGCCACTAAGCCCCAAGTCCTGCCAGCTGTTCTGACAGAGGTGGCCCCTGTGGTCACCACTGAGCACATCTTGGTGTCTGTTGCTGCTGGGGTCTCTCTGAGCACTCTGGAGGAGGTGAGTAGCCCAGGTATGGTAAGAATAAGGTCTTGACCCTGAAATAGGCTCTGTTGACCAGACTTGGGGAGGCAGCCAGCCTCTAGAAGTTGTCACTTGGCCCACCAGTGTTAGGTGGCCGGGGTTAGCTTAGCATTCACTACTGCCACTGTCCTAGAAGTAGGGACTAGAGCCTGAATCTGCCTTAGGTGTCTGCCTCGCAGGCCCAGTCCCACAGGCTGCCTGACACTCAACTCTCTCCGGCCAGTTGCTGCCTCCAAACACACGAGTGCTACGGGTCTCTCCCAATCTACCCTGCATAGTCCAGGAGGGAGCCATGGTCATGGCACGGGGTCACCATGCTGGGAATGACGAGGCTAAGCTCCTGCAGAACCTGCTGGAGGCCTGTGGGCAGTGCCTAGAGGTACCTGAGTCCTACGTCGACATCCACACTGGCCTCAGTGGCAGTGGCGTGGCCTTCGTGAGTATTATTTTACCCACAGCTTGGCAGGCAATCCCCCTACAAAATAAGGTCCTCCAGGTCCCTAAAATAGCTTCTGCCCTCAGAGTCTAGCCTCAGGACTGCCAGTGGTTCTCAGACCACCTGTGAGCACTCCTGTCTCTGAAAATCTCATACTCAGTTGGGTCATTGAGGCTGACCTGTTTGCAAAACTTTAGGTTTAGATCTTGGCCCCCAGGCACCTGTGGTCATGCTATGGCCTTGTTTCTGATGGTTGTGAGCATTCTCTAGCTGGGTGCTGTGTCCAGGAAAGTGTCAGCGTTGACATGCCCCCCCATGCTCTTGCTACAGGTGTGTATGTTCTCTGAGGCCCTGGCCGAAGGTGCCATCAAGATGGGCATGCCCAGTAGCCTAGCCCACCGCATTGCTGCCCAGACCCTGCTGGTGAGTAAAGGTTTCCTCAGGAATGTCTGCAAGGTTCTAGTTTGGACTGTCTCGACAAGCCCACAAAGTCCAGAGGAAATGTGTGGCTGCCTTGCCTCCACCGGCTCACCACCCTAACTCCTTCTCCGCAGGGGACAGCCAAGATGTTACAGCAGGAAGGGCAGCACCCAGCCCAGCTTCGGACGGATGTGCTCACTCCCGCAGGAACCACCATCTATGGGCTTCATGCCCTGGAGCAGGGTGGCCTTCGAGCAGCCACCATGAGCGCTGTTGAGGCCGCTACGCAGAGGGCTAAGGAGCTCAGCAGGAAGTAAGCCAGGCTCCAGATGAGTCCATAAGCTCCTCACAGAGCTATGGCCTCGGAGTGATGAGAATAGCCCTAGGTGGGGGTTGTAGTGCACTGTCCTCCAAACACAACAGCCGTCATCATCAGAGCAGCTGTGACCACTGTAAGGGACCCTCAAGATCAGGCTTGTTGACTATTGACCCTCCATCACAGAAGGGGAGGATGGGGAGGGTTGTGGGACCCTCACCTGAGATTCTAGCCACTTCCTCCTGCACCTCTTTGCCAGCTGTGTGTTATTCTGCCCTACCTGCACATGAGCTCATGGTCTTGAGGGTGGTAGGTAGTAGCATATATAGACTGTGAAAGGTTAACTAAAGGGAATCCACCTTTGCAGTGATGCACACATCGTTCATGCAAGTGTGAGCAGCTGCTTGGGGTCACCATGCTGCTGTAATATAACCCCTCACCCATGCTCTGTAAGCCCAATAAACTCAACGTACTTTGGTTTGTTGTTGGTGCCCTGTAAAGAGGGGGTAGAACTCTCCAAGGAGAGTTCCTGCAACCTTAACACACCAGCCTCCTTACTTCCCCAGGTCCCCCCCATCTTCCCTTTGTCTCCTCTAAGGACCACAGTTCTATCAAACGAGTGTCTCCACTCCCCTATACACGGAAACGTGGCCTGTCTCTGCAGGCCTCACCTGCCCAGTGTCTCAATGACCCTGCTTCTCATGAGCCATTGAAATAGGCAATGTTGATTCTCAGGTGCTGCTTTGTGCTCACAAGAAGAGGTACTGGGCCTGGTCTGGAATCCTGGCTCTTTCCTGAATTATTCCTCCTCCAACTCTTATTTCCTTTCCCACCTCCTGTCAGACTGTGTAGCCTTGTCTGACCTTGAACTCAGAAATCCAGCTGCCTCTGCTTCCTGGCTGGCCTTGAACTCACAGAGATCCTGTGAGATCCTGCCTCTGTTTCCTGAGTACTTGGATTAAAGGTGTGTGTCATACCTGGCCCCCCAAATGTCCGCGGGACTGCTCAAAACCCAGCTCTCATACTAGAGGTGGGGATGGCATGGGGATTATATGGCATCTGCTCAAGGAACTCCCCTACCCTCCATGAAGCCAAAGCTTTGACCTGCAGCTGGACTGAGTCCCCACTGGGAGCTTGAGGATCCACCTCTCCTGAGGAGCTAGCAGGTGACATGCCCTTCCCCTAGTTGAGGAGCTGCATCCAGAGGTCCCATACTGTAGAGTGATCCTGGCCAAACCTGCCCAGTGCTTAGGCTGCACCAGGTAGGTGGCAGGCAGGTGGATGACTGCTTGAGGTCTTGATGGTGGGTCCTGGCTAGATGGGAAGACCTGTCTCTAGCTGGGCATAGGCTTCCTCCCTCCTGGACTTAAGCTGGCCCATGGGCAGGTAGCGCTCAGCCTGAATGACTCATTCTTGGGTCAGGAGTACTTAGGACCCTGTGACCCTGGCACTACAACTAGCCCCTGCAGGACTTGGCTCGTCAATGTCCTGTCAAGGACCAGCAAGTCATGAAAACCAGGATATGGGAAGAGCAAAGTCATGGGATTGAGGGCCAGAGGGCTGATCCACTAGGTAGGTAGGACCACCCCATTCCTCAAGACTCCTGGCCACCCAGACCTCAGAGTGCTAACTCGCTTTCACCCAGCAGCCTCCTGGTAATAGATGGGAACATCCACAAGTACGGCTTGAGTCCTCTCCCATGGTGATATCTGCTAGCTGGGTGACACTAGGCAAGCTAACCCCTATCTATAAAGCAGGACTAATGGTAATTAGAGACAGGAACAAGGATGTTCCATCCCCGTGCCCCACTCCCCCTGCGCTGTGGCCTTGTGTTCCCTCAGCCCCTTGGCCTGGACTCCTGTCCCAGCTCTGCATTCCCAGCCAGTGGGTGGGTCTTCTCTGCCAAAGGCTGCTTCATCACTCTGGCGGTCACTTGTCAGAAGGACCATCCTGAGTCCAGTGACCAACCGAATTTCCTCACCTGTGAAAAGGAATAAAGTGCTGAGGTGACCACTGATTAGAGGTTAAGAAGACTGCAGGCCACTTGCCTTGTGATGTACAGACACTAGACTATCAGCTTCCTTGCAACCTGGCCTCCAAGCCAAGTCTGGGTGGGATGGAACACTGGGCTCTGATGTAGGCCATGCCCTACAGGGACTCCTTGGGCAGCCTACCTGCAGAGAATCCTGTTGAAGTGAGCCACCAGCTGTTTCTGGGACTAGGCTGGGAAGTAGAACACACTTAAATTTCCCAGAGCAGGTTGTTACAGAGCCTCAGGTACACTGGTGGAGGGGCGGTACACTGGTGGAGGGGCGGTTCACTGGTGGAGGGACATGCTGGTTCACTGGTGGAGGGGAGGTACACTGGTGGAGGGACATGCTGGTTCACTGGTGGGGGGCAGTACAGGGACATGCTGACTCAATAGAGGCAATTTTGGAGCCACAGAGCTGAGACCATATCAGCTAGGCTCTTCCTCTAAATGCTGCCAGACTAGCCACTGCTTTTTGAGATAAAAAACTGGTGGATATGGGGTTGGAGAGTAAGCTCAGCAGTCAAGAGCACTTGCTGCTCTTGTAGAGGCCCAGCATTGACATGCTCTCTCACAACATTCTGAAACTCCAGTTCCAGGGGACTCTGGCACCCTCTTCTGGCCTCTGTGGACATGGCATGCATGTGGTACACTTACATACTTGCAGATGAAACACTTCTAAAATAAATCTTTTAAAATAAAACTGGTGGGCCAGGCATTGTGGTGCATGCTTTTAATCCCAGGACTTAGGAGGCAGATCCTTTTTATGTTTGAGGCCAGCCTGGTCTGTGTAGTGAGTTCCAGGCTAGCTGGGGCTACAGGGAGACCTTGTCTCAAAAAGAGAAGAAAAAAAATTTAAAAAGTGGTGGACGTGCCCATGGTATTTTCTGTATTCGATATTGTCTGACTTTGATGCTCCTCCCACATATCCACTCTATGGATTAGTCTAGGTCTAAGCGTTAGATCCAGTCACAAAAATAAGACTAAAACAAGGTAGCTGGCGATGTTGACATGTTAGCTTTATTACACAAGTGCCACTGGACCACCTGGCCAGATGAACTCAGCTGTGAGCAAGGTTGAGCGTTAGAGAAAGGCCCCTTCAAGAAGTCATGAAGTCACAGCTCAAGATTCTCTTGAGGATAGCCACTGGGGTCAAGATTCACCTGTGGACACATTCAGCAGAGGCCAGACTGTGCCAGGTCCCAGCTGGGTTTCCCGCAGGCAAGGCCAATGCGGTAGCTTGAGGTGCTTCCCTCCTCTCATACGAGGCTTCTTCACCGATAACTCAGCTGCTGCTGCTTTCCAAGGGTGTGAACTGGACCCTGAGGACAAGACTGTAACCCCTGCAAGTTCCCACCTCCCCATCCCAAAACTGCAGCTTGGTGGTGGCTCCCAACAGAATCCAGTCACCCTTCTTTCTGTGCTGTGTGCTCTCTCCAGACACATTTTGTAAGCCTGTGACAGAGCCACCCAGCAGGGAAGGCTGCCTACATTCCCAGACTACAGGGTCTCTATGCTTTGTGGGATCAGGAAGACCTCCAAGGCAAAAGAACTGGCTTTCCAGCATGGTGCTTGGTACACAGCAGCTGCTTTAGGGAGGGATTAGTTTCACCCTCCTCACTGGCTCTTGCAAACTCAGTGCCTACAGGGAACAGCAGTAGGTAACGCAGATGGGTTCACAATCCCGAGTATATGGTTCTCCTAAAAGTGGCCAAGAACCCCAAGGTATCCCCATCACTTCAGATGCTGAATGGAGTAACAGACGTGTGAGGCAATAGCACATCATAAGCTGGGGTGCTGCTGGGATTGAAGCCTCAGTACCACATATATGCTGCACGACAAGCCCTGGGGTTACAGGTTTCACTGCTGAGGCACATGCTGGGCACCTGGGCAAAGCAGCCTCCTCCACAGCCAGGACTCAGCCATCTGAAACTCTCCATGGCACGTGGGAACACCAGCATTTTCCAAAATGCACTTTAATAGTGTATGGATTGAACCCAGGGCCACCTTCTTGCTAGGGAAGTATCCTACCACTGTGTGTGCTCCTAGCCCAAGAGGACACCCTTTGAGCCCTCTTGTGGTGGGGGAGGGGGATTCCTAACCCAGTGAGTGCCAGTACATGGACCATAACTGACAGGAACTCTCCATGACCCAGCCAGCCCACACCTGCTTGTTTACAATATGGGGCTCTAGCCACCTCCCAGGCCTTGTGCGCCCAAATGACAGGGCTTGGACAGTTGGTGAGACAGGTGAGAGGTCTTATTCCTGAGCCCAAGTCTCTGCCAACTCCAGCCTATCTGGGCCCGGGCCAAAGGAGAGAACACAACAGAAAAGATGGGGATAAAACCCAATAGAGACCTCTCAGAGGAGTACAGACATACAGACACCCCAAGCTGCAGGGCAGCTACCAGGGGCTGCCCAGGCTGAATGTGCACCCAAGACCTGGGTCTGCCTCTCCTCAGTCATGGAAACAGGCCTGGCAGAGCAGATTGGCAACTCCAAGACTAAATGCCTAACTGATATGGAGGCTGCTGGTATAAACACATTAGACATCCGAAGGCCCCAACCTGGTTGCATGTTCTGGAGACCTTCAGTCAGTCACAACTGCCCAAGGATCTCTATGTCTGCAGGTGTGAAGAGGCAGGACTCACATGTGGCTAGATGGGCCTGGCGGGTAAATGGAGTTGGCTCCCTGAGCCTCGGTTCTCCTGCTCTCAAACTCTCCATGTCTTCCTCAGTTCTTAATATCTGTGTGGATTATTAACTGGTGTGTATGAGTGGTTCCAAGCTGTATTCTTGGACCTGTGTGGAAATCACTTTTGAATGATAGCTCAACCAGCACCACCCACTGCCACGCTGGGAACTCACCCCCCCCAATCCTGTGTGTCCCATTTCATATTTTCGAGACTCAGACTACTAGGACATAGGAGAGGTGGGGAGAAGGGGAAAGTGTCAGGAGGCAGGCAAGCTCCTCAGCCCTGGACTTCCTCGAGTTCAGGGCAGCATCTCTGCAACAGTCCCAGCCCCAGCCACCTCTTGGCCTTAGACTACCAGCAGCAATCTGAATCTACAACTGGACAGAGCAACATAGTACAAAGCTTGCATAGTCCCTTGAGCACATTCTTCTTTCAAAGTGGGCCATCAAACAGCTCCCTAGCCACACCCTTAGTAAGGTGGACAAGCGTGGAGAAGGCCTGGGCGAGAAGAGTCCATGGAGGTTGGGGGTGGACACTAAGGCACTGCAGGATTTCCCAGATGGCTGCAAACTAGGCCTGCTTCCAGGTAGGTCAGATAGCTCCAGACCCTGGGGCTAAAGTGGTCTGCGGCTTGTTCTGCCATTGGTCACGCCTGTGTCTACATCTAAACACTCGCCAACACCATGGAATAAAAAATCTGTTTAGAATGGAGTTTTGCTAAGGACCAAAAACCAAGAACGGCATCTACACTCCCTGCTGCAACCAGAGCCTCACCAAGTGCTGGGCTCCATCCTCCCATTCCCACTCTATTGAGGGCAGACCACAAGTGTCGGGGCCCAGCCTGAGCTCTGACCCAGCACCATGAGGGCCTATAGCTTCAGAGCAAGGGCAGGAGAGCCTAGGGATCACCTTACCCTGCTGGCACTCAGGGTTCCCTCTGGAGAGTATCTTTAAAAGCAGATTTAATGTGTTTCTTTCTTAAAACAAGCACACAAACAAGGGCTTCCGTGAGATGATGAAGATTAGGTAGCACCAGGGGGGCCGAAGAGCGGCAGCCTCAGCCAGTCAGTGCACATGATGGGCAGGGAAGTGAGTGTAAACCCCACAGGGGCCAGAATGGAGGTACAGACAACTGCTTTCCAATAAATGCTGTGCTTATGTGCCCAGCATGCGCCCACATGTGCCTACCCAGGGAAGAGCATTTGCCTTTCAGCTATTCTTCCAGGACCCTGCGGATCATGGGACAGGACACCCTTCACCAACAGAGCTCCTCAAGCTGGGCTGGCCTTGCATCCCTGGACCTCTATGGTGGACAATCCCATGGGGAAGAGGCGAGAGATGGCAGACTGTGGGTCCCTTTCCAGTGCAGCAGGAAAAAGGCCACTGGGCCCAGGTGGTCGGTCACACACCATCATCAGGGACGGCTGGTGAGGGCCCAACACCCCCGAGCCTCCGAGCCATGGTAATGAGGGAGCGTAGCTGAACCAGCCTCAGGGGCCCCACCTCCCTAGGGTCCTGGCTCTCCAACCACCTCAGGGCTGTCTCCAGCCCCCAAACAGCTTCCCCGGCAGTAGGCACCAACACCCCTCCATGTTCAGTGGCCTCTTCCTCCTCCTCTCCACCTCCCATGCTAGAGGGCAGACTGGCTGGGGACGGAGGTGCTGCAGGGGCCAGTGCCGGCAGCCAAGCAGGGGCCACCTCCTCTCTGCAGCCTTCAGAAGGGAGGCCGCCATCATCGTCCAGGTGCAGCCACTCAGCCACCTCTTCAGGTGCCAGACGCTTGTAGGCTAGGGCTGCCAGGTGTGTGAGATCGCTGAGCACCCTGCTGTGTTCAGCAGCCTCCTCTGCCTGGTGGACTGGCTGCTGCCCAGGCTCGAAGGCTGCCCGCAGGCCCAGTAGCCAGCAGCGCTCTATGCTGCCTGCCTGTACCAGGTCCCAAGAGAGGCCAGCCAGGTACAGCATGTCCTTGAGCATGAAGCTGCGCATGAAGTCCAGTGGTGAGCCACTGGCGCAGGACACGGCTAGCCGCAGCAGCTCCCGTTTATACAGATGCTTGAAGGCTGCCACCACACCGTGCTCCAACGGTGCAGGGATGTGGGCTCGGCTGCTGCCCTTGGACAAGAAGAGCACTCGCACAGCACCATCAGGTGTCTGCAGTTCCTCTGGGGACCCAAGGGATTCAGGATGGCACTGCCTGCGGGTCTCTTCACCCTCCTCCAGGGCAGGCAATCTGGTGGCCCAGCTTGGACAGGGCGGGTGGGCCACCAGGAGCACGGCCTTCTGCTGTAGGCAGCTTCTGCGCAGGTATCGCTTGACGCCAGGAACGAATTCCTCAAAGAACCAGCCTCGCAGAAGAGGGCGACTGAGCCAGGCATCGGGGCTGTAGCGGTAGGAGGCAGGGAACTTGTCCTGGTTGTGGTGACGCAGGCTGGGTGGGTTGGGGAGCTGTCCGATGACTAGTGGCTTCAGCTTGTGGCTGCCCGTCAGATTGGCGGCCAACAGCACAGTCACTCGGTCGCCACGCCATCGCCGGCTGCAACCCCCGGGTCCGGGGTCCTCAGCTCCAGGAGATGCGGCCTGCTCCGGCAGCAACCTCCAGAAGAGACCAGTGACATTGGCGTTGTAGATCTGTTCGTCGCCGTAGCCGCCCTCCGAGGGGGGCAGAGTGGCGGGCGCCCGGGTAGGCGGGAGACCCGCGCCGGGAGGTTGCACGGACTCCTCCTTGACTGACAGCCCGGGTGCAGGGCCTACAGTCGGGGGCTCCGCCTCACCGTAGATACGCTGGCTGGAGATGCCGTGGCGCTTCTGCCAGCGCCAGAACCAGCCGTGGCTAGCCTTGAAGGTGCACTCGGGGCCGTAGATCTGGCGAGCAAAGGCCTCGGCCTGCGCTTGGATGACCGGCCCGGACAGCGGCACGCCGTGCTGGCGCAAGGTGAGGAACCACGAGTAGACCGCGCGGTCGATCTCCTCCTCGTTGGCCAGGCGCATCTTTTTGCGCTGCGTGCCCACTTCGCCGCCCAACTGGTCCAGGAACCAGCGCAGCTTCGGCTCGTCCTTGAGCCAGCCGCGCAGGGTGCCGCCCGGCACGCCGAAGTCGCGGCACACGCTGGCCTGTCTCTCGCCACCCTTGACGCGCTCGATGGCCTGCAGCTTGTCTTTGATGGAGTAGGCCTTGCGGAAGGCCATCTTCACCGCCACGCGGGGCCGCGGCCCGGACGCGGGGGATGGCTGGCGCGCGGGAGGCCCCGGAGCGGACGTGGGGGATCGCTGCAGCTCGGCCAGGCGCCCCGCCGGGGGGACACGACCGCGGTGCGGGACCGGGTGCAGGGCCGAGCCGGACGCAGGGCTCGCAGGGTACATGGCGACCACGGCGGGGACCACCGGGGCGCGCGAGCCGGACGCCCGCCGCTCGGGGCGGAGCTCGGGGGCGGGGCTGCCGGGGTCCCTCCCTTTTGTCTCCCCAGCTCTGGTAGCCCCGCCCTTCCCTACGGCGCCTGCGCAGTGGCTGCTTCCTGCGTGTCCCTGGCGCTTGCGCCCCGAGGTTCCGCTGCGTCCCGCCCGGCTCAGCCGGCTCCACTGTGCGTAGGGGGCGAGGGTGGCTGGCGGTCCGGCTCGCGGCGGTCTGCACCGGCTTCTCGGAGGAAGGAGCAGCGTCCGAGGTCACCATCCTTTGGAGTCTATCGTGATCTTTTCGCCATGCTTGGCGATGCGTGGCCCTCGCGCGAGGAGGCGCGTGCTGGAGGCTGAGTCCCCCGCGGCGCCGGCAGTGGTTCGTCCCGCTCGGTTTTCCGGGCGCCGCACGGACGCCCCTCCCTCTCCTTCGTAGTCTTGCGCCCGCGGTCCTTGCGCTGGGTCGGCGAGTCCTTGGCTGGCGTGAGTACCGCGCCTCCCGGCGCCAGGAGCGCGCGTGCTGCCGGGGCCGGAGAGATCCGGCCCCGCGCCGTTAGGGCTGGCGCTGAAGGTCGGGGCGGGCGGCTCGGCCTGTGTTGGCGTGGGCCGGTAGCCACGTGGCTGTCGGCTCCCCCAGCACCCGGCCTCGCTGGCTGCGCCGCAACCGGGTCTTGTGGGGGACCCGGCCCTGCGCTCGGTCGGGTCCTTGGGGCAAGGCCAGATCTGGTCTGCCTTGGCTGTAGTCTTTGCGGTCGAGCACGACTTTGTTAAGCACCTGGGGCACACGAGTTCTAGGCAGAGAGGGGACAGGCTCAGGTGCAACGTCTTGGAACTTGGCCCACGGACACAGGAAAGGGAAAAGGCATACGATGCCGAATAGTTCAAAAAGTAACAGGGCTCTCCTGATTTGGATAAGGTGGACTGGACAATTTCCTTGGGAAGGGGCGCATTGAAGGAGCAGTTCTTTACCTAGTGAGTGCTTTCAAGGACTCGTGGCCGAGTGGAATAGCGACACGTCGGGGGCTACTTTGCAGCAGAACTTTGTGAAGCTAAATTTGGGGTGACCGCCTAGCTGACAGGGAGGAATACTTCTGAATTAGCTGTCCCTGAGAGGGATAACTGGGTACCACTTCGTGAGCTCCTGCATCTCTGCCTCCTTCCTTCTGGGTGAAAGCAAAGGGTGGATGTGACAGGACCACCACTTGTCCCCAAGTGTCCCCTGAGAAAGACATAAGTGCTGGTTGGCACATAAACTCAGATCCAGCAGGCCCTTTATCCTGCCTCTGCAGAGTCTGGGCCGTGATCCAATCCCATGGGGCGGCAGCCCTCAAAGGAACAGGCAGTCATCTCCAGGGTTGTGGTGGCTAGTTCAACATAAGGTTCGTTTCCTTTTGGAGTGAGAGCAGTAGCTCTTGGGCCCTGTGTACTTTCTCTGGATAGCTTCCTGTCGTAGAAGGAGGCCGGTGTAGGGCAGTCCTCCAGGCTTGGCTTTTGGGGTGAGGCTCTGGGGTTTAGTACAAGTTGGATAAACATGCCTGAGAAGGTCTGATGGGCAGAAAGTGGAGGGGGGCTGAGGGCAGGAGGTGCTGGCATTGAGCATTTGTGCTGTACCTGGGCATCTAAGATGGTGTGTGCCTGTTGGAAGTGTTGGGACACAGTGTGAGATGCAGGTGCTGGAGCATGCCTTGGTCTCCAGCCCCACACCTCATTGACTCAGCAGGTTTGGCTGGTCATGAATGGGAGCCTTATTTTTCCCTAGTGTGTAAGATGTCACACAGCTGGGCTGGGGAGATGGCTCAGCAGTTAAGAGCACTGACTGCTCTTGCAGAGGACCCGGGTTTGATTCCCAGCACCCACATGGTGGCTACGAACCATCCTTAACTCCAGTTCCAGGGGAATCCGAAGCCCTCTTCTGACTTCCAAAGCATTGCATGACACGGGTGCATTTACATACATGCAGGCAATACACTCATACACATAAAATAATATTTTTTTTAAAATGTCACACAACTGTCCACAGCCTGTGTGACATATGACACAGGTGGTGTCAGGTGTAAAAGAACTGAGGAAGCAGGAGCTGTGTAGCAAGCCTCGATGACCCATAGTTCCCGTGAGGGTACTACAGGGTGGAACAAAAATAGAATTGAAAAGCTGTGGCATTTGAGGCAAGGAGGCAGGCAGGACAGAGGCTGGGGTACTTGGGCAGCTACAGCCATCAACTTCTGAGTCTCAGAGTGGGCGGAGCCCTTTGGCACAGCACAGGCCAGTGATTTTGAGTAGGGCCAGGATAGCAGGACTTCAGAGGCAGGGAAACAGCTGGGTGGGAGCCTGGAGCTGTAAAATTTAACACCTAAGGAAAACAAACTAATGGTATCCTGTGCTGAGATCAATTTGCACTGTGTGGCTGCCCCTTTGGACACCAGACACACTAAAAGTCCTGAGCAACATTGATCCAGATTCAGACCAGGTGAACCCAGAGGGTGTCTAACTTTGGGGGTTGAGCTAGCCGCAGACTCCATTCCCTATCCACATGGCTCCTCTCTGCTCCTCTGGAGGGTGGACAGTGTTGGGAGCCATCGTTGCAGCCACTAATGGAATGGCATGCTACCTCATATCATCCAGAGGCTTGAGGATTAAGTGCTGGTTGGCACATAAACTCAGATCCAGCAGGCCCTTAATCCTGCCCAGAAGTCCAGCTGACATCCAGGAGCTGAATAGGGCCTGCTTGAGCCACTTTCCTCTGGTGCATCTGAGCCTGCTTCTCTGGAAGCTGGCCTGCTTTCCTGTGTTCATTCTCTTCAGCATGCTTCTGGAAAATCCTCAAGAGAAGAGCCAACCTTGTATAGGGATGTGGATATTGACAGAACTTGCCCTCTGGGGGTTTGAGAAGTTCACTGCTTCCTGTTAACAGGTTGTTTTCCTGAACAGCTGCAAGCTTGTATACATGTGTCCTCCAGTGAAGCATTTGATAGGAGTACCCAGGCTGGGTGCATACTGGCTAAAGGTATCTGTTGTGCATCCATGGAGACGGCAAGCTGGGCAAGACCTTGGTGCTTGAGAGTCTTGGGTTGGCAGTTCTGCCTGCTTGTTCTATAGCTCCCCCACCTCAGAGGTGGCACCTTTTCAGCAAGAGACCCTGGTAGCAGCAGAGCCCACAGCTTGGAGCAGCCTGGGCCTCCGAGGTCCCTTTCGGGGGTCAGTATCTGCAAGGCCAGCCAGTGAAGGGGAGAGGCTGGGCTCCTTCCACAGCTCGGGGCATTGTCTGGTGTGGCTGGCCTCTCCCACTGCTCTAACCTTGCTGCTTTTCCTTCATGCTGTCCTAGGAGGCCAAAGCAGAAAAGTAAGTACACCTGCTATTGTCGTCATCTCCCTTCTGAGCCACGGAGCCCCCTCCTTACCCATCACCTTGCCAGAGGGAGGTGTGCTACCTAACCTTTGCAGAGCTGAGCTTGCTGGGAACGGGGCAGTGATAATGGTAGCTGCCCCAGAGGCAAGGGCACCCCACATATCCTTGAGCAAAGGTCCTGGTACCAAGCAGGTCGGCACAGAGCCCTCTGCCCTGTGTGGAAGCAGTAGCCACATATAAAGATGTGGCCTGAGGAAGTATCTCATCACTATGGCCCTGTCTCTTGTTTTGAGGAGCCTTGGAAGTAACCCTGAAGAAGGCTCCTGGAGCCTAATCTAAGTCTGATAGTGTGTCAGCTTAGTTGGTACTGTTGAAGGGACTGGGGCCAACCTAGACCTAAGCTGCTCCATGTGAACAGAGCAGCTGGTGAGAGCCCCAGGGACTTAATGCCAGAAAGTTGGGGGACAAGTAGGTCCTGTTGTGATGGTGTGTGTTGTCCCCTTGGTGACACTGGGTGATGTCACAATGCCCTGGCTCCTGGGCTCCTGTTCAACCCCTGCCCCTGCCCCTGCTATTTGGTCTTGGTAAGTGAGGGGGTGGCCTGGAGACCTCTCCACTCTGGGCCTCTGTGGCTCCTGGTCCTGCCTCCTTGCAGTGGCAGGAGCCTGGCAGACTGCACCACAGAACATTAGCTCTCACATGGAGGTAGGCTTCAGGCTGACAGGTAGTGTTTCCTAGGGTCTTCTGCATTTGTGGGATTTAGATAGCTAAACCTTCTGCCAGGGTGATGAGCGTCAGGTATTGGTTTTGTTAGGACAGGATATCCTAGAAGGTGATGTGAATGTTTGCTCTCTGGCTAAAGGCTGCCTTCCCTCTGCCTAAGGCCCAGCAGATAGCCCTGGTGTTGCCATACATCCACAGAAACACCATGATAATCACATCCCTTCCCTTAGACCCTAGTTGAGTCCAGACCATAGGAGTCTTGATAGGGCCACCCCTCTGGGGCAGGGCAGCCAGGTGGGTGTTTACCTCCATTCTCAGAGCATTACCTGAGTGGCCTTGACTGGTACCGTCTGGGACCTGCCCTTTCTATGGTACCACGCCTGACTTACCAAACCGTCCAGTCTTCCGTGTGACTGTTGGTGTGTGCTTCAGAGCTACCCCCACACAAGGGAGCAGATACCGAAAGTCACTCAGGGCTTGAGGGAGCCCTGTGTCCATTAAGGAAGTTGACATTCCTGAGCCTTGTCCACTGGCTACAGCAGCACCTGGGACATGGTGTCCAACCATTATGCCTCTTTGGTTCAGGTGGACCCAGAGTTGTGGGCTGGCCTCCCAGGTGGAGGTGGTGGCTACTGATCAAGGACTTCTGGGTGGTTCAGGTTCTGGGTAAGCATTCAGCCTCTGTTCCCTACCACTCCCTGTGAGGTCAGTTAGGCTCAGAGACAGACCCTTTTCTAAGACCTCCCCCCTCTGCCCCCTGCATTGGAAAGGCACACTGCTCTGGGAAGGATGGTTATGTGGTCAAGGTGGGTACAGGTGACTTGCGGTGATGGGTTGCTTGCTGGGGTCCCGTCCAGCTTTGGCAGCACAGGCCCCCTTCAGATGACTAGAAACGAGTATCCTCAAGGAGGTGCCAGGCTAAGCACAACAACACAGCCTGTCTGCTTCCACAACAAGTAGTTTCTTAGTATAGTGTAGACCATCTCATGGGATGTTTACATAGGAAGCTACTGATCGTTCATATTAAAGACATTGGCAGAGTATGGCTGTTGGTTTAATTTGGCACCCTACCTGGAAGCCCCTTGAGAAAAGGTGTGTGATGAGTTTTAGATATTGTCTGGATCCCTTTGGGAGGCTATGGGGCCCATAGGGTGACCAAAGGTAATATTTGTAGCAAGAAATAGTGTGTGTGTGTGTGTGTGTTACTTATTTTTAATTCTCCAAAAGTTCCCAGTGTGGATATGACTTTTGTGCCCTTGCATGTCATCTGGCGGCGCTCCTCTGGGAGGCCTGTCCACTCGTTTTCCCAGCCTCCCTGTCTGCCCCTACCTGCCAGACCAAGGAGGGCGAGGGCGGCAGGTGCCTCTGCTGTGTTGCAAAACTGCCTTCTTGTGCTTGCTTTTTAACGCTGTACCTGAAGATGAGGAGTGGGGCCTCTTGTGCGCTGGAGACCGTCTGGAAGGACAAGCACGAGTATGAGGAGGCGGAGCGGTGCTTCCGTGAGCATGAGGCCGCGCGAGCCACCACCTCTGCCCAGAAGCTCCTGGCCAAGGTGCCGGCTGTGAACGGGACCAGCCAGGAGGACACAGAGGACACCGACGAGGCAGAGGCCCCCATTACCAGCAGCAAGAGTGACACTGGGAAGAGCCATGAGTGCAAGAAGCCCCTTCAGAAAAAGAGGAAGCGTTCCCCCAAGAGCTGGCTTGGCCAGGCAGACCTAGCCCTCGTGGGCCTCTCAGCTGATTGTGTGTGGCTGGAAAAGCCACTCTTTGACCAGGCAGAAAGTGCCTACCGTCAGAGGCTGGCAGATGTGGCTGCCCAGGCAGCCCAGCAGACTGCCTTAGCCCCTTGGGGCCCCTGCACACATGGGAGCCACGTAGCCTGCCACCATGTGACGTGGGGGATCTGGGTCAACAAGTCTTGCTTTGACCAGGCTGAGCGGGCTTTCGTGGAGTGGTCTCAGGCCTTGCTACTGGCTGCAGAGGGGAGCCGTAGACAGGGGGCTCCTGATACAGGCCAGCAGGCAGTCACGCCCGACTTGGCCTTGGCCTGCCAGCCTTGCCTACCAGCCAATGGCCAGCCCTCTCTAGGAAGCCTGCAGGCACTGGTGCAGGAAGTATGGCTGGAGAAGCCCCATTATGATGCAGCTGAAAGGGGCTTCTATGAGGCCCTGTTTGATGGCCACCCCCCAGGGAAAGTGCGCCTGCAGGAGCAAGCCATCCAGGCAGAGGGTGCCCGGGGGGGCCGCAGAGACCATCGGAGCAGGAATGCCGTGGGAAACAAGAGAGCTGGGTCCCGGCAAGCCGACGGGGAGGCCCCTTCTGCTTTGCCCTACTGGTACTTCCTGCACAAGGACGCAGAGGCCCCTTGGCTCAGCAAACCCGCCTATGACAGTGCTGAGTGCCGCCACCATGCTGCTGAGGCCCTGCGCATAGCCTGGCGCCTAGAAGCCACCTCCCTGGCTCACCAACCGTCGCCCCGCTCTGGCCTATCCATGTGCAGTCTGAGACCCAAGTAGGGAAATATGGTGGCAGCTGCTAAGACTGACCTGTGCCACAAGCACAGTCTCCAGGCTTGGGTTCCTCATGCTCCCCTACTAGCTTAAACGGGTGGGGTGGGCAGTAGTGCTCTGTCCTTGAGAGTTGCAGGTTGCTGAGTTTTTGGAGTTGGTTAGGGAAGGGGTCAGTGCGAGGCAGAATCATCCTAGCAAGGAGCTGAGAAGACAGTTGTCTGAAGGTTGGGAGGGAAACCTTGCAGCTGGGTCTCTGGTACCTGAGTGGCTCTGGGTTGAGGTTGACTGTGTGTTGACACCCATAACTTGGCTTATAGTGTGTGCCCATTGAGGTAAGGTGGGCATTGGATCCAAGAGCACATGGCTAACCCAGCAGCCTCTGAGGAAGGTCTGTTAGGCCTTCCTACGGGGAAGGAACCCTGCCTTTCGTCTTGGTCTCTGTGGCAGGGGCCTGAGGAGGGGTTCTTGGGGCAGTGTGGGGTCATGGAAGATGGCCTCCCAGGCAGATGGATGTGGTGAGTTGACGGGGAAGGAAAAGAAGTGGTCAGGGAAGAATTTAGAGGGTCCCGAGTAGCTGCTTGGGCCTCCTGAGAAGCGGCACCAGTCCTGGCCCCCTGGGTGGCCAGGGAGGAGTGGGAATGGAACCCAGTGATGATTGGGGTGTAGAAGGTGTGCCTATAACCTGTCTGCCACCTACCTGCCCTGTGTTCACTGTGGCCTGGCCTGGCTCCTCACCAAGGCACCCTGGGTAAGGGGAGCAGAGTCAGAGTGTTCTTGTGAACAGGCACACTTGGGGGAGGTCTGGTGATGGCCTGAGGTCTCCACACAGAATTGGCGGAGTGGAATTGGGGTGATCTCTTAGACCTGGTGGGGCAGCAGGACCGGCCAGATAGTGAATGGTGTGGGCTCTGGACCTGCTGCACACTCTGGCTCCCATACTGTTCCGGGTGTGGGAGCTGCACGGTGAGGCCTGACTTGCAGATAGTTAGCTGGACTTGGCCCTAAAGTTGTAGATGCTGGTCTAGAAGAGCAAGTCTCACATTCTTCAGTCTTGGTACACAGAGCTTTCATTGTATCTGTTGATTTTTGCCGTCTTAAGTACTGAAAGTACTTGTCTTTTGAAGGGTGACCAGCTTCCTGCATGTTAGCATGAATAACGTGCCTTTGTGAGAAATAACTTTTCAGTGACAGCAGACCTAATGGGCAGAGTGAGCTTGTCTTCAAACCTTTTTTGGCTGAGGGTGGGTGCTGGGTTCTTAGAGCTGCTGGAATGGGTGGTGGACTGTATGGTGGAAAGCACACGACCTGCGTGTTCCGTTATCTGGGGGACTGGCCCGAAGGTGGGAGTGTGGTATTTTATCTTTTCGTGTATGGAAGGGGCTGGTTGTTACACTGTAGGGGTGGAGCCTTTGTTATCCCAGGCTGGCAGTCCTTAACCAGAGGTGGCTTTGGGGGCAGAGGTGGGCACCCTGCTAACTTTGGGCTGCCTGGAACTTGTGGGGATGGTGAGGCCGAGGTTGACCAGGACTCTTTGCTGTCGTGCTGACCTAGCCTCTCCCCTTCTCAGCAGAAAAATGGCTACTACAAACTTTCTAGTGCATGAAAAGATCTGGTTTGACAAGTTCAAATATGATGATGCAGAGAGGAAATTCTACGAGCAGATGAATGGGCCTGTGGCTGGTGGCTCCCGCCAGGTGAGAGCAGTGGTTGGGACTGTTGGGTAACTGCTGTCCAGCAAGAGCTGGCCTGGCCGGGTGGGCCACAGACATGTCATTGGGGCCAGGTGGCTCTGTTGAAGGAGTCTTCAGAGCGGCCTTGGCTGGCTTCTGATCCTGACGTCTGGGACAGCCCACTCCTGCAGTTCCCAGGCAGCGGAGGCGGAAAGTTTGTGGCCAGGCCTCTGTGGGCTGGATGCGCCCAGACTTTGTGGCTCTGGCCCCAGTAATCTGCTTCTCACTGTCCTGGGCGCTTTCATTCTCTATCCTGCTTCCTCGCTCCTTGAGCTGGGATTCATAGGGTTTTTGTTATGTGGGTTTTTTGTTTAAAAAAATTTTTTTTGACCAAAAAACAAAAGACTGGTTCTTTCTGCACTGTCTGTAGGACAATGGTGCCAGCGTGATCCTCCGTGACATTGCGAGAGCCAGAGAGAACATCCAGAAGTCCCTGGCCGGAGTGAGTACCCACAGCCCGCGTACTCCTGGGCTCGTGCTCGGCCAGGCAGCACGTCTGATGTTTGTTTTTTACCCTTCAGCACTGCTGACTGTTTTGGCCTTTTGGAGCAAGTTAGGGCTCAGTGTGTGATGCTGGGTTCTTGTGGGACAGTGCTGAGGCCTCCATGCCTACACTGTCATAGGAAATGGTCTTGCTCCCTAGACTTTTCTGCCTCTTCTGCTTGGTGGTGGTTACCCTAGCCATTTCTGCAGTGCCTGCCGTGGGTTGCCTGGGCTGAGTGGTGTTATTTTGTAAGGTGTACGCTGCAGGCACATGCCTCAGGCCTGATTCTTCCTCACTGCTCTCCGCTGAGGAGCACTTGTCTGTTGGGCACCTTACCCTTAGCCAGGGCCCTTCAGGGAAAGGGGTAGTTATTTGATGAGGTGTGTTGAATTCAGACCATAGAGGCAGTACTATCTTAGACTTAGGGTTCAGAGAGGAGCCCAGTGCCCTGTGTGGCCTCCAGGTCCTAGATCAAGGTCAGGTGTGCAGAGAATGCCGCATCTGGCTCTGGTCTTGTTGGGCTAGCTCTTTGGATGACAGGCAGACTTGCATTCTTTCTCAAGAGTGGTAGGACCTTCCTCTCCCTCTGGAATGGGTTGTGCCCTGGAATAGGTGTCCTGTTGACGTGTGTAAATGAGTTACCACAACCTTCCTGCATGAAACAGTACAAATTCATCATCTTACAGTCCTGAAGGTCAGAAGTCTAAATAGGACTCAAAGCCAAGGGCCAGTGTTCCTTTTGAGACTCTGAGATTCGGTTTCCCGCCTGTCCCTATTTCTAGGTGTAAAGAAGTCTTGGTGTGGTGCACAGAGGGTAGTCACTCCTTCCCGTCTCTATCTCTCTGTGAGCCTCCTGTATCCTACCATCTGAGGACTCTTGTGAATGCACCAGGTCTGCCTAGTAGTTCAGGGATCTCATTTTATGTTTGCCATTTCTGAAAGTTTGCCATGTAAGGGAACAGATTCATAGGCCCTAGGGTTGGGGCATGGAATCCCTTTTTTTTTTTCTAATAAGTTTGAGGGACGTGGAATCTTGGGGCCTTCTGTGGCTGCCAGAGGGTCACATCCATGACATATTTGTTCCACACCAACATCTCAAGTCTCAGCCTTTTACAATATCACCTTAGTCCATGTGGATGGTCAAGCATGGGGGTGGCATCCCGTGGTCTATTCTGAAGCAGAACTGCTCTGTAGGCATAATTGGAAGTAGTAGCACACAGGTTATCTGCTTCCTAGATGCAGTTGTGGGACAGGGAAGTAATTCTAGGCCATTCCTATTTAGGAATGAGAAAAAGAAAAGGAAAAAGGGGTCACAAGTCACAAACAATTTCAAAGTGAAGCCAGGCCGCTGCTGAGGTTGAAGGCTGGGGGATAGTTCATGTGGCTCAGTACCACTAGGAGTCAGTTTTCACTAAGCAGCACTGTTCGGGGCTGGGAATTTAACAGCTTTCCTGACTGTCGAAGGTAGTCATTGCCAGTATGTGCTCCCCCCCTCCCTTGTTTTTGTTTTTGTTGTTTTTTTAATTTAAAGTTTTTTCATTCTGACTGTCCCTTTTGGTCTAAGTTGATGGTGTTTCTACTAGTATAAAATTTTCTTTTATTTTCGGGGGCTGGAGGGATAGCTCAGCAGTCAAGAGCACTGACTGCTCTTACAGAGGACTGGGGTTTGATTCCTAGCACCCACATGGCCGCTAACAACTGTCCATAACTCCAGTTCCAGGGGGTTTGACGCCTTCTTCTGGCCTCCACAGGCATTGCAAGACATGGGTGCACTTACATACATGCAGGCAATACTCATACACGTAAAATTAAAAAAAAAATTTTAATTCTATTTTTTTTTTTGAGACAGGATCTCCCTGTAACCCCAGCCAGCCTGGAACTCACAGAGATCCACCTGCCTTGAGTGCTAGGATTAAAGGCGTGCACCACCACACCCGGCTACTAGTATAAGATTTTCAAGAGCTTTGCCTATGTACCTTGTCACAGAAAGCTGCAACACGACAGGGGACGCCTGTGGTTCTTTATTGGATGGTCCCATCCATTTCTTGGCACCTGCAAGATGGCCAACGGATTCCATGTCACGCACCTGGTCTCTGATGGCTTTTCAAGTCCTCTCACCTTCCACTCCTCCCAAAGCACTGGCACAGCTGTCCAGCTGCTGCCGGCCCTCTCTACATCTTGCTTTCCTGGCAGTGAGATGCCTTGTGTTTGAATGTCCTTAGCTCTCTGGAGAGGCTAAGAATTCTCCAGCCATCTAACCCTGGTGGCTTTTTGCCAGTTCTTTCCTCGCTTTCCCGTCTCCCGTTTTACCGTAAGTGGTGGGAAGAGAAGCAGGCTGTGTCGTCCACATTTGGCTTAGAAAGCACAGCTGCAGAACCAAGCTTCCTGGCCAGGTACACAGCATGTGGAAAAGGAGAGAAGAAGCTTGCCTGCCACAAGTTCCAGACCACCCTGAGCCATAGAAAAAGACCATCTCAAAAAAGCAAAACCAGTTGAAGATAGTTTTTTCACTTAGAAGTCCTGGAAAAGGTGGAGCTAAACTGCTTGCCTGTGCGTCCAAGCCACTGTCAAGCATGGTTCACCCTCCTAGTGGTCTGCACTACTAGTTTCAAGTGTTCTTTCATGTGACATGCTCTGCTGTGCCCCTCAGGCCTTCCAGCTGTGCCCACCGCCACCTCCACCTTCTGGGGCTGTGCCATAAGCATCCCACTCTCCATGGCTCAGACCTGCATTTCTTTCCAGTTGCTATAATTTCCCGTAGCCTGGTGACTTAAAATGACACATCTGCTCTATCAGAGTTCTGGAGGTCAGAGTCTTAGAGGCATCTTGTAGAGCAGAATTGAGGGTATCTACAGGGTTCTCCAGAAGTCTGCAGAATATCTGCCTCCTATCTTCCACCTGTGGGCAGCTGCCCTGTGGCCCCAGGCTCCCACCAGCTGTCCGTCGTTCCTGCCTCTCTTTCTTGCTCCTGCTTGTCTTGCACAGACCCTTGTGAGGGTGCCGGGGTCGTTCCCTGCCCAGGTCTTAGTCCCATCTGTAGAATCTGCTTTGCCATATGGACTAACAGTGGGCTCTGCCAGAGTGGTCAGTGCACAGCCTTTTCAGGTTGCAGACTTGGCCCTGCCTGACTTCTGTCGGCTCTGATCCCATCATCCTCAGATCTAAACCCATGATCCCATGCTTGCCCACTGACACTTAGGCCAGTAGACATGGAGCCAGAGTTAACAGACTTGTGCACTTGGCCAAGTACCTTGAGCTCCAGTGCCCAGAAAACTAGGGTGAGCTCAGTGACCCTGGGGCTGCAAGAGCTGCAGGAACATTCCCTGCCTTGGCTCCACTGGGCCGTCCCTTGTCAGGTCTCCTGCTGAGCAGTGTCTCTCAGAGGAGAACTTTTCCTCACATCCCTAATGTGCTGTGTAGAGTGGGCACCCCAGGTGTCCCAGAAACAGCTCTAACATTCCAGCCCGGCCTCTGCTCATACACTGCCGTTCCGGTCTTTCTTGCAAGCCTTGCTGTCAGGTAGACTGACAGGGCCTTCCTCTGATGCAAGCTCTGCCAAGATCTTACTGTGGGCCTCAGCTGCCACACCCAGGTGTTAAAAGGCAGTTCCGCTCCGTGTCAGCCCAGATGCTGCTGCAGGAGGTCATCAGGACTGAGGCCGACGTGCTGTGTGGTGTGTTGTGCAAGAGACCCGTGCATCTGTTAATACAATTGAGCAGGGCCTGCTGAGTGGATGCCAAGTTTCCTCCCTACATCCTGCAGAGGAAGTCCTATTGGAGCCTGCTCAGATGGGGTCATGCTGGGGCTTGCATGCAGCCATGTCCTCAGAGCCAGTAACCCTCCTATCTGTGGTGTGGACCCCTCCCTAAGGACTAACATCTGGGAACATGAAACTAGAAGCTTGGTTTTCCTGCAAGGGAGCCTGCCCTGTGCTCTCCAGAGCCTTCTGAGGCCACCTTAGAGATCACAGGTGCTAGCACCTCCTGCAAGTAGCTCCTGCCTGCCTGCCCCTCAATAGCTTCCCCTCCAATTTTCCAGCTCAAGGTGATGCTGCCCAGCTCCCCTGAGGCCCCGGGCCAGGCTGCCCCTGGGACTGTAAGTCCTGCATCTTCTCTGAGGGCTCCCTGCTTCTTGTCCTGTTCTCTGCTTGGCTGAGAATGTTGCGGTGGGCTGTACAGCCATTCTCCTTAAGGTCAGCCAGTCTTCACCACTTGTTAGTGTGAGCTGGACCTCAGCAAGAAAGCTGTCTTGTCATCCCTTACCTAGGTCTTCCCTGAGTTGCATTTCCAGCAGGTCCTTGAGCCAGTCGATATAGTAGGGGATCCATCAGGACTGGCTGAGTCTTTGCCAGGCCTTGAGTTCAGTCTGGGGCTCTGCTTCTGAGGGGCTGTGAAGGGGAAACTACCTCAGATGAGGCTAAAGCACCTGAAACTGAGTTCAGCTTTCTCCTCCCTTTCAGAGCTCAGGCCCTGGGGCCTCCAGTGGGCCTGGTGGAGATCACAGTGAGCTTATTGTACGAATCGCCAGCCTAGAGGTGGAGAACCAGAACCTCCGAGGCGGTGAGAGCTTGGGCCTGACAGGTGGGACCCCACCTCCAGTCCTGCTATCTGACTAGTATCCCCCCTTGTGCCCACAGTGGTGCAAGATCTGCAGCAGGCCATTTCCAGGTTGGAGGCCCGGCTGAGCACTCTAGAGAAGAGCTCACCTACTCACCGAGCGACAGCCCCACAAACCCAGGTAAGTGACATTCTCTCACCTGGGTGGTGAGTAGAAGGCTATGTGGTCCCTGACTTCTGCCTTCAGTTGCTAGCTGTCGCAGGCAGGCAGGCGCAGGGCAGGGCAGGGCAGGGCAGGGTGGCTGTAGCTTGCCTTGGCCACATGCTGAGAATGTCTCCCAAGGACTGACTTTCCCCAGTCACCTGGAATGGGGAGGCCTGTGTGGGTCTCAGCCTCCCTGGCTTCTTCTGTGGCAGCACGTATCTCCCATGCGCCAAGCGGAGCCCCCAACCAAGAAGGCAGCCACACCAGCAGAGGACGATGAGGACAACGACATCGACCTGTTTGGCAGTGATGAGGAGGAAGAGGACAAAGAGGCTGCGCGGCTGCGGGAGGAGCGGCTGCGACAGTATGCAGAGAAGAAGGCCAAGAAGCCTTTGCTAGTGGCCAAGTCCTCCATCCTCCTGGATGTCAAACCTGTGAGTGACATGGTGGACCTGGTGGGGGCTGTTATGGGGTCTTCCCATAACTTTAGCCTTTGACACAGCCACACCTTTCTGGGTGTTGGTGGAAGTTTAAAGATCTTGGCATAAGAACACAAATGTGGGGTGGGGCACTTGTAAATTTAGCCTGTTTCTAGGGGCCCTTTGAAGAGCAAAACTGTGGCCTCCTGTGTACAAGAGAGGGGGTCATGGTTATTTCCCCTAGTATTCTAGAGGCTTCTGAGATGGCTTACTCAGCCTCTCACATTCTCTTATAGTGGGATGACGAGACAGACATGGCCCAGCTGGAGGCTTGTGTGCGCTCCATCCAGTTGGATGGGCTGGTCTGGGGGGCCTCCAAGCTAGTGCCTGTGGGCTATGGTATCCGGAAGCTGCAGATCCAGTGTGTGGTGGAAGATGACAAAGTAGGCACTGACTTTCTGGAAGAGGAGATCACCAAGTTTGAGGAGCATGTGAGTCAGCAGTGGGCACTGGGGGAGACTGGATGAACCCTGAGATTCCTGCTCCTGCTGACCTGACTCCCTGGGAACATCCCCCCCTTGAACCCCACTGCAGAGTGTGAGCAGGTGGACCTCTAGGCAAGCTGTAGTAACACCCCTTGTTCCCCTCCACAGGTGCAGAGTGTAGACATTGCAGCTTTCAACAAGATCTGAAGCCCAAGAGTGTGGTTCATGTGTGTGAGGCCCTGCTGAAATTAAAGACTGAGACTGCAGGATGGCTTTTGTCTTGTTACTTGGTGTGCAGTGATCTGCCAGGTTTTGGGCCCATACCTGTCCCACCCCAGCCCACCACCTCTTGTGCCTCTGTCTTGGTCTTGCCTCTTCAGTTTTGTGGCAAACAATGAGTTTGATACAAGCTGTTCAAGCCAGAAACCAGCTGTTGGGCCCATGTTTCTCCACTGTGCCTGCTGTCTGTTGCTGTAACCATGTGGAGTACCCTGAATCTTGACATAGCGATCCTCACCTTATTTCCAAGAGGCACAGCTGGGATGGTCAGGCTATGGACAGCCAGCTGTGCTTTCTGAAATTGCCCCTGCCCATTCCCCACAACCCATGCGGTCGGTGCTTGGGTATTAAGGGTGTCTGGACTATAGTCTGATGGGTGATAAAACAATATTTGGGTGAAAGGGGTGCCAAGTGTGGTTGTTTCCTGTTGTTGATGTCCTCTGTCCTTAGCCATCAGGACCTCCCCCCTCAAAAGTATTAAGAGACTTTCCCATGGGGTCTGGGGTGCAGGACCCAAGAAAAGCCGTCACCCTGGGATCCCGGCTTGGCCTGCACAAATGTAAAGCCCTTTTTGGTACCAGCCTGGGTTGGCAAACCATCTCCTCACGGTTGCCTGGGTTCCCTTCTCATGTCTGAAAGGCAGCCGAGGCCTTTCACGGCTCCTGGCTTCCCAGCCTGCTGCTCACAGCCCGTGCACCCCTCCCAGGGCTGGGCCCAGAGGCCAAGGGCTCAGTACAGCCTTATCCTTATCCGACCACTCCAACCCCGGCCAGCTTTCACGTGCCGCTTTGCCCCAGGAGGCGAGCTCCGCCCTCTACCCAGAACAAGGCCAGGTTCCACCGAGGACCGCTTGGCAGGAGTCCAGGAGGCTGGCCTGGGACTCTGCCCAGAGCAGAGTGGCTCACCCCGCCCATCGCAGCCTCCTGGTTTCCAGCTCCGCAGGGGCGGGGTAGGTGGGGTGGGCGAGGCCCGGGCGCCCTGGCAAGGGCCCCTATCACGGCCCCATCGTGCACTGCGCCCTTCTGGGCTCCTACGTGCACCGTGTGTGGAGCGAGATGGCCGAGCAGGTGGACGGCGAGGGGCGCGCGGCAGCACGGCCGCTGCTCACCGACCTCTACCAGGCCACTATGGCGCTGGGCTACTGGCGCGCGGGCCGGGCGCGCGAGGCCGCTGAGTTCGAGCTCTTCTTCCGCCACTGCCCGTTCGGCGGGTCCTTCGCCCTGGCCGCGGGCCTGCGGGACTGCGTGCGCTTCCTGCGCGCCTTCCAGCTGCAGGATGCAGGTAGCTGCGGCCCCCAGGAATCCTGCCCCCAAATCCCTGCTCCCGTGAGGCTCCTCCCCCAGGACTCCCGCCCCCAAGAATCCCCCCTAACTCCAGCTCCCTTAGACTCTTCCCCCAGACTGCCGCCTCCAAGAATCCTTCCCAACCCCTGCTCCTTTTAAGATTCCTCCCCAGGATGACTCCCCCCCAGGACTCCTCCCTCAGGACTCCCGCCCCCAAGAATCACCCCCTCCCCACTCCTCCCGTGAGACTTCTCCGCACGACGACCCCCCAGGACTCCAGCTCTCAGAGATCCCAGGATTCCCGCTCCCAAGAATAATCCTACCCCCAACTCCAGTTCCCATGAGACTCCTCCCCAGGACTATCCCCCCAGGACTTCAGTTCCAGTGAAATTCCCCCCAGGACCCCCGCTCCCGTGAGACTCCTGCGGACCCCTCAAGACAATTCCGCTCCTGACAACCCTCTACAGCCTCCTCGGGACTCCCGCTCCCCCCAGCACTTCTGCTCCTAGAGATCCCAGAACACCCCCTCCCAAGAGACGACCCCCCCCAGAACTCCCGCTCCTGGCTCCTGTGAGACACCCACACACACCCCCTCCAGGATCCCAGCTACTAAAAGATCCCTGCCCCCTTCCCCCACGACCCCACTCCAGAGACATCCACCCCAGGACTCCCGTTCCCAAGACACCCCTCTCCAGGACCCCACTCGGGAGAGATCATCCCCTCAGAAGACTGTGCCCCTGACTGAAGAGTCCTCCACTTGCCTGGCCAGACCCAGTGCTCCCCCCAGACCACACCTATTCTAACACCCCAGATGTGCATTTCCTGGCCTCGGTGCTACCCCCAGACACTGACCCAGGCTTCTTCGAGCACCTTCGGGCCCTTGACTGCTCCGAGGTGACTGTGCGGGCCTTGCCAGAGGGTTCCCTGGCCTTCCCTGGTGTGAGTGTGCAGTGAGCCGGGCCTGGCAGGGCAGGGGAGGGGCAGGAAGACCTGCTGCGAGCTGACCAGAGCTGACCGCCCTCTGTGCAGGTGCCGCTGCTGCAGGTGTCAGGGCCGCTCCTGCTCGTGCAGCTGTTGGAGACTCCGCTGCTCTGCCTAGTCAGCTATGCCAGGTCGGCAGAGGTCTGGGAAGGTGCTGGCTACAGGGCACACTTGGGTGGCTTTGCCACCCTCACCTAGGCCTTCCTGGCCTCTTCCACAGCCTTGTTGCCACCAACGCGGCTCGACTGCGCCTGATCGCAGGGCCTGAGAAGAAGCTGCTGGAGATGGGCCTGCGCAGAGCTCAGGGTCCAGACGGGGGCCTCACTGCATCCACCTATAGCTACCTGGGTGGTGAGGCCTTGAGGCATGGGTTGGAGAAAGGGAGGTCTCAGCACACCCAAAGTCCCCCAAGCCTGCTTGACTTTCCACCCAGGGTTCGACAGCAGCAGCAACACCCTTGCTGGGCAGCTTCGAGGTGTACCTGTGGCAGGAACCCTGGCCCACTCCTTTGTCACCTCATTTTCAGGTAGTGAGGTGCCCCCTAACCCGGTTAGTACCATTTTATTTTCTTTCGTGTCCCATGTAGCCCAGGCTGGCCTTGAAGTCCTGATCCTCCTGCCTCCATCTCCCAAGCTGGGTCCAATCAGTACCTTTCTCAATTCTGCTTACTATATAGGACAAGATTCCAAGACCAACTCTTACCCAGCAGGGGTGGGTTGGGCCCTGCTGTGCATGTTGGCAGATGCTGTCCCCTGGCCTGTGGCCCAAGACTGCCCCAGGAAGCTGCCATTTCCTTTGCCCTGAGGCCAGAGTATACTGGCCACTCCCAGGCCTCACACTGCACTCTAGATCTGTCTTTCACTAATCCCTCTCCACAGATGTTAGCTCCAGCCACTAGTGAGGGCCCCACAGTGGACCTGACTGTAAGTGTAAAGTTGTGGCTAGAGCGAGTGTGCACTCATCTGGAGCTGGAGGTGCAAGAGCCACACCCTGGAGAACGAGCAGCTTTTGTGGCCTATGCTCTAGCCTTTCCCAGGGCTTTCCAGGGCCTGCTCGACTCCTACAGTGTACTCAGGTGAGCTGTGGGCATTCTGCCAGAGTGACCTTAGTAGAGCAACTGCAGCCCCTGACCTCGTTTATGCCTGTAGGAGTGGTCTTCCCAACTTCCTGGCAGTAGCCCTGGCATTAGCGGAGCTGGGCTACAGGCCAGTGGGCGTGAGGCTGGACAGTGGTGACCTTCTTCAACAGGCTAAGGAGATCCGTGGCATCTTTCGAACAGTTGCTGCTCAGTAAGTTCGCCACAGGAATGAATCTGCTAGAACTTGTGGGAAGCTATGAAATGGGGCAGGGAGATGGGGCTGGAGGCGAGGGGCGGGGCACGGGATACAGGTGGGGGACACTTCCCTGACAGTGATGATAGTGAGGCCTTTAGAGCAACTAGGCACACCCTGGAAGGGAGGGACAGGGTAGGACCACAGAGGCTCCTAAGCAAAGGATGGATATGGGTTTGACTGATGAGGGGAGGGAACTAGGAGGCCGGGGTGAATCAAGCATTTGAAGGGGGGCTGCCCAGGAACCCATTGCATGCAGGTTCCAGGTGCCCTGGCTGGAGTCTGTTCCTATCGCAGTTAGCAACAACATTGATGAGAAGGAGCTGGCCCGACTGGCCCAGGAGGTAGAGTGGAGGAGGGACAGGTGGAGGGTAGACTAGAGGGCTCTGGTACCCTATAGGTGGCAGCCAAGCTCAGAGTTACCTCTTCTTCCCACAGGGCAGTGAGGTGAACATCATCGGCATTGGCACCAGCGTGGTCACCTGTCCCCAACAGCCTTCTATGGGCTGTGTCTACAAGGTGGGGGTTGTGTCCAGCCCCAGGTAGGGCAAGTCTGAAAGACTGTGGGTGGTAGGGGACAGGAGTTCAGCTATCCCAACACCCTGTCCTTGCAGCTGGTGTCTGTGGGAGGCCAACCTCGAATGAAGCTGACAGAGGACCCTGAGAAGCAAACACTGCCAGGAAGCAAGGCCGCCTTCCGGCTCCTCGCCTCCGATGGTGAGCCCCCTCCTACCCCTAGGTTGTCCTTTTTCGAGGCCCAGCCCTTCTCTCATGTTATTTCTACGTCCTACCTAGGGTCTTTGCTACTGGACCTGCTGCAGTTGGCCGAAGAGCCTCCACCCCAGGCTGGGCAGGAGCTGAAGGTTTGGCCTCCAGGGGCCCAGGAGCCCTGCACAGTGAGGCCAGCCCAGGTGGAGCCACTGCTGAGACTCTGCCTGCAGCAGGGACAGGTGACTACCCCCACTTGCACCTTCAGCTGAGCCCTGACCCCAGTGGAGTCAGACTTTTCACCTTCCCCTCTCCCTCCTACAGCTGTGTGAACCACTTCCATCTCTGGCAGAGTCCAGAGCATTCGCCCAGAAGTCTCTGAGCCACCTCAACCCTGCCTACAAGCAGCTGCAGAGCCCTGCAGTGTATCAGGTAGGCCTGCAGATGACCTGTCCCGTGTGCCCTCTGTCCCCTCCCCCTTCCCAGTTGCTCATTAACCCCCATCTCCTCTCTACAGGTGGTAAGGTCAGAAAAGCTTCAGGCACTGGTGAACAGTCTGAGTGCCAGAGGTCCCTTGTAAGAATCACAGGTGCCAGGTGTGGTGGCGCACACCTTTAGTCCCAGCAGAGGCCAGCAGATTTCTGTGAGATGGAGGCAAGCCTGGTCTGCACAGTGGACTCCAGGCCGGCTGTGGCTGTAGGGAAACCCTGCCTCAAAAAGACGCCAAAAAAAAAAAAAGA